ATAGTTTCATCTATGTTTAATTCTTTTCCGTCGTTGTAAGGATACATAATTCCTTCACTGTTTGGTGCTTTTCTCTTAACGAGATTCAGATAACTTCTGAAAACTTTCTTTTGTTTTTCATTAGGAATAACTATTCCATCAGTAAAACTTTTTACCCAAGGTTTCTTAAATTCATTCGTTACGTCATGTCCACAAGCTAATCGAATATAATCTTCTACGGATATCTTATCTTTAGAGTAACCCTTAAACGTTTTCTTTTCTTTTAAAACACCATCGGAAGTTAGAATGATATTGTATTTTACTTTTGGCGCTAAATATAAACCAAATATGATTCCACCATCACCATAATCATTCTTCCCTTTGCTATATTCGTTTTCAGCTTCATTTAATTTATCCCAATTACTAAACGAAATGTATAAACTATCAGTATCTGTATAGTATATTTCCGGCTTATAAAATCCATCTATTACGTGAATGAAATTGTTCATTATTTTTTTACTGTGAGATAATATAAATGCACCTAAATGAGCGGGTGTTAATCTAGTAAAATCCTTTGGAGGAACAAACTCTTTTTCTTCTTCATTCATCTCAACTATATATTGACTATCATTTACTTTTTCATAGCTTTTGACGTGTGAATCGAAGTTGGCTTTAAAAGTCGCTTCATTCCATAAATGTCTCGATGTATTTATATCCTTCTGAATAGATTTACCGTATAAGGAATTACCTAATAATTTCATGCAATTACTAGCAACCATTTCTCCTTCTTTTTTGTATTTATTCTTTAATTCCTTCAAAATTAAAATATAATCTCTGTATGGTGAAGTTTTGAAATTTTCTTCGTATACTATTCCATCTAATATTCTAATAATTTTACCACCGGATTTCACTATTTCTTGAATATCAACCGATGTTAAAACGTCGTGACAGAAACCATTTCTGAATCTGATTTTAGTGCCAGTTTCCTTCTTACCTATTCTATTCGTAAAAGTTATTTTATCTTTAGCTGGTATGGGTTAAAAGAACATGTTTTTGGGATACTCAAACCAGACTTTTAAAATAGCAGTTCTAGGTCTGAATTTTTGTTTATTGAAGAGTTTTACAAATTCTATTTCTTCTTCTGGTAGAAACGCTCTTGCACTTTCCGCTTTAGGATGTTCCCCTTTTGTCATGGCGGAAGCGTACAACCCATTAGCGTCAAATGCCATCAGTTTAGAATAGTCCAGTTCTTTGAGTTTAGCGTGAACTTCCGTTTTATCTTTTGGGTTAATACTGTATTCTTTGAATAAATCTATTATTCCTTCAGTGTCACTTTCATTGTATTCTTTTAATATGGCGCAGATCTCATTCATTTTATCCGTTTCAAATGATTTTCGATTTGCCGAAACTCTTCCTCCTTTAATACTTTGTCTGATAAAATATCTTATAAAAGGGTGAGTATGCGAGTAAACTTTTTCTACGTTTTCTTTTTCGGTGTGTTTGGGAACCATTCTAGTAGTTTCATACCATTCTTCTTTAACCATTTCTTTATCGTAATGATATAAATAATACCAACCCTTTAAAGATAAAGAAGGAGCCGTTAGATTATTGGAAACGTTTTGGAAGACAGTTTTTTTCATTGCTTGATTGTATTTTATCAAACAAGCTCCGAGACACAACGTATCTCTTTTAGCGTAAGGTTCCCTTTCATGTCTTAAAGATTCCCAATTATCTTTAGTGTATTTTGCAATATTAACATCCTCGATCTTTCTCAAATTCATTGGTAGATTAGATGAATTTCCCCATGCTGCCAAACTAGATTTTTCATGTTGATAGGAACATGTGAAATTAATATTTTGCAAATAATTAGAGTTACCCTTT